TACAACTTCGTAGTTGGGTTAGTCGACTTCGTAGTCGAAGGCTTCGTAGCCTGCTCGAGATTCCACTCGAGGATTTTACAACTTCGTAGTTGTGTTAGTCGACTTCGTAGTCGAAGGCTTCATAGCCTGCCCGAGATTCCACTCGAGAGTTTTACAACTTCGTAGTTGTGTTAGTCGACTTCGTAGTCGAAGGCTTCGTAGCCTGCTCGAGATTCTGCTCGAGTTTTACAACTTCGTAGTTGTGTTAATTGATTTCATAATCGTTGGAAAGTTAGTCGGCTTCATAGCCGCTTTGAAAAATTCCGCTTTGAGAGATTCAATTTTTCATACAATCATATTGAAGTCGACTCGTAAATGTAAGAAACATAATTGAAGCATAAACAAATTCATTTCATCATTGAATTTAATTCAGACATTGTTCAGTACAAAAAGTAATTCGAAATTTTGCCTTAAGCGTAAAAGCGTTTGAGGTGAATTACATGCCAGGATCGCGGGAGTTGTCGTCCTTCTCCATCCTCGAGTTCATATGCGCCCCTTTCGAGCACCTTTGTGACAGTGTAGGGCCCCTCCCAGTTTGCTTCGAGCTTGCCGACATGTTTTAGAGCGTCGGCTCGTTTGAGGACAAGGTCCCCTACTTGGAATCGCCTGGTCCGGACTTTCTTGTCGAAGGCCGCTCGCATCTTTTGTTTATACTCGACAGACCGCACCCAGGCTTCTTCTCGTCCTTCTTCAATTAAATCGAGGGCCTCTTTCATCATCTCTTCGTTTCTCTTTTCCTCGTAAAATTTTGATCTGTGAGAGTTGAGGCCGACTTCAATCGGCAGTAACGCATCCATCCCATAGACCATGTGAAATGGGGATTGTCCCGTCGAACTTCTTGGAGTCGTCCTGAGGCCCATAGGACTGTTGTCAACTCGTCGACCCAAGCGCCCGACGCTTTTTCCAGCCGTTTTTTCAATCCTTGGAGGATAGTTTGATTAGTCACTTCGACTTGCCCGTTTGCCTGTGGATGTGCGACTGACGCAAATCTTTGTTTGATTCCCATGTCGAGGCACCATGCTTGGATCCGCTTTCCTTAGAATTGAGTTCCATTGTCTGAAATTAACACTTTCGGAATTCCAAATCGACAGCAAATATTGTTGAACAAGAATTGTATCATCTTCTCTTCAGTGATTCGTGCCAAGGGTTCCACCTCGACCCACTTACTGAAATAGTCGACTGCGACCACCAAAAACTTTCGTTGTCCTGTCCCCATCGGCAATGGTCCTACCAGGTCGATTCCCCACTGAGCAAAGGGAATTTGGGAGTTGATCGTCGTCATGTACTCTGCCGGGATATGAGTGATTTGGCCATGGCGCTGGCACTTTTCGCATTTCTGGACTAACTGCTCGGCCGCTGCTCGAATTTTGGGCCAATAGTATCCTGCTCGCAGAGCTTTGCCCGTCAAAGCTCGAGATCCGACATGCGCCCCGCAACACCCTTCATGGATTTCTTTTAGGACATGAACACCTTCTTCTTCGGATACGCACCTCAAATGTGGTCCAACTATCGACTTCTTATAGAGGATCCCGTCGACTTCAAAATATTTGCTCAAATATCGAGCCGTTTTTTCCGCCTCTTGTTTGTCTCCTGCCGGGATTCGACCCTTCAGGAGTTCTCGAATTGGCTTTTTCCAATCATCTTTCTCGTCAACTTCCATAGTTTCACTTAGGATGCTTCCCTCGAGGTGCATCGTGGTGATGTGATGTCCCACTTTTCCTTCATTCGAGCTTACAATTCGTGCGAGCCAATCGGCTCGTTTATTTTCTTCTCGAGGGATCTGTGTTAACTCGAACTTCTCTAAACCTTGTCTCAAGCGTTGGATTTCCTCGACATATTTCACCATCCTCTTTAACTTCGCAATTTCCCAGCACCTGGCCAACGACAAGTTGCGAGTCGGAATGTGCTGCGATTTCCGTTGCTCCGCCGCCAATTGCCAGTTGTATTCCTTTGATAAGTGCTTCGTATTCGGCTTCATTGTTTGAGGCTTTAAATCCCATCCTGATTGCGAAGTCAAGTTGCTCGCCTTCGGGAGATACTAGGACGACTCCCAAACCCGATCCCTTTGCGGACGAGGACCCATCGACATGCATCATCCATTTCCTCTCTTCTCCTTTGGTTCCTTCTTGAATGAAATCGGCCAGAGCCTGGGCCTTAATCGCGCGCCTCGGCTCGTACTTGATAGAATACTCGCTCAGCTCAACTGCCCATTTTATGAGTCGACCTGAGACTGTAGGTCGACCCAATGTTTCTCCCAGCTGGAAGTTCGTTCTCACCACAATTGTATGATTCAGAAAGTAAGGTCTCAGCTTTCTGGCTGTTATGACGAGTGTTAGAGCGGCTTTTTCAACTTCTGGGTATCTCGTCTCTGCACCTTGAAGTACTCGACTTGTATAATAGATTGGTTGTTGACAGCTTTCGTCTTCTCGCAGCAGCACCGAACTTAAGGCAAACTCTCCTACTGAGATGTATAGAATCAACTCGTCGCCTGGTTCTGGTTTGGTCAACAAAGGCAGACTGCTCAGGAACTCCTTCAACTTCTCAAAGGCCATCTGTGCCTCGTCGCTCCACTTGAACACCATTTTCTTCTTAAGCAGTTTGAAAAAAGGGAAACTCTTCTCGGCAGCTCGAGCAATGAATCTGCTCAAGCCCGCAATTCTTCCCGTTAGCACATGGACTTCTTTAATGTTACGCGGTGGAGCCATGTCGAGTATGGCTTGCACCTTATCTTTGCTTACTTCGATTCCTCGTTCCGTGACCACGTAGCCCAGAAATCGTCCTGCTCTTACTCCAAAGGCACATTTGCTCGGGTTCAACTTCATCCCAAACGCCCTAAGGGTGTTGAAAGTTTCCCTTAAGTCGTCTGGGTGTGAATTCGAAGATTTACTCTTCACCAGAATATCGTCAACGTACACTTCCATATTCCGGCCGATTTGAGATTTGAACATTCGATCCATCAGACGCTGGTAGGTTGCTCCTGCATTTTTTAGGCCAAAGGGCATGACGACATAGCAATATGTCCCTTTGCTCGTCACGAAACTCACTTTACTCTGATCCTCCGGTGCCAAAGGAATTTGATGGTATCCCTGCGACGCGTCCATCATGCTCAACAACTCGCAGCCAGCTGTGGAGTCGACTAGCTGATCGATCCTAGGCAAGGGGTAGTGATCTTTAGGGCATGCCAGGTTCAAGTCGCGGAAGTCGATGCACATACGCCATTTGTTCAATGCCTTTCTCACCATAACTGTGTTAGATATCCATTCGGGGAATTGGATCTCCTTGATATGTTTGGCCTTCAACAACTTATCCACCTCGACTTCGACTGCTTTGTCGATTTCAGCGCCGTGGTGCCTGAGTCGCTGCTTCACAGGTTTTCTGAGGGGGTCGACATTGAGTTTGTGCTCCATCACTTCTGGGTCGATTCCAGTTAGCTCTTCAGGCGAGAAGGCGAATATATCCCTGAATTCTTTCAACAATCCCACCAACTGTTCTCGCAATTCGCCTTCTAGTTCTCTCCCGACTTTGGTGGTTTGTTCTCTCGACTCCCCAATTTGAATCTCCATCAATTCTCCGTGAGGCTCGAGGTCACTCCCCCTCGGCCTTTTCTCGCTCGTCATTGGTCTTTTGCCTTCTTTGATTTCGGTAAGCTGATTGGTTTTGACCGCGATTTGGTAGCATGTTCTCGACAATTTTTGATCTCCTCGAGCCTCTCCCACTCGATCTCCTACTGGGAACTTCAGCTTCATATGATAGGTTGACACAACTGCTTGAAATGCGTTGAGCGCGGGTCTCCCCAAAATCACGTTATAAGCCGATTCGACATCAAACACAACAAATCTCACCATTTTGACTTTCCTCAAGTCGCCTTCCCCTAGGACGACAGCGAGCGTGGTTTCTCCCAGGGGAGCGACTTCTGAGCCATTGAATCCGAAGAGTGATGTGTGTAGGGGCGTAAGTTCAATGTCCACAATGAGGGGTCTACTTCTAGATCCGAAGTAAACCGGTAGTTGTGAGCTCAGATCTGCTTGAACTGCCTTGAAACCGTTGTTAGACCGCAAGAATACCTGCAAAAACTCAACGCCGGAGGTGTTTCCGGCGTAGAGCCTCCGACGCTCAAGTCAGTATGAGAGGGATGAAGAGAGGCTGCGCAGCAGCTATGGGGGAGAGTGAGAATGAATGAGAGTTAGGGTTTGGGTTACCTCGCCTCTTTTATATAGGAGTGAATACCTACTTGAAGTGCCCAAAATGCCCCTGTCGATTCGTCTCCCCTTTGTTGCTGAGTCATCGCCAGATTCCCTCTTATCCTTTGTAATGTGTAGAGCTTTGGACAGATTGCAAGTGTAGTGAATCGTCTTCACTGCTTTGGTCCTCGAGATGTATGGAGTCGACCTCGAGAGTTAAGAGGTCGACTTATGAATATATGATTTCGGAGGTTACGCTTGGTTTCTGTGATGAAGTCGTCTCTGGAATCTTCATAGTGGAGTCGACTAATGGAAGTCGACTTAGGATACTGGGATGGCCAGGAGTTATGCTCCTGCTGTCCTTCCGTTGATGTCGACTAGTAGAGGTCGATAGACCAAAGTCGACTTACGAGAGTCGACTAGACCGATTCCTGCCTTCTCTTGGTTGCTCTTGGTAGAATTGTCTTTAGGAAAGTCGATTTGAGTACATCGACCGGAACATGTCGATGTACTAGTCGTTCTGATAGTTCCTCGGTCGAGTGAGGAGCCTCTAAACCGGATTATCCTTATATGGCTATATCAGTTGTAAATTTTAAACGATCACAACTGATTTTTAAAGATAAAATAAATGTTTTAGTAACGCTCCGAATCATTTTCTCAAACTATTTTAAAAAGATGTCTTATAATCACACTCTGATAATTAAGTTAGGGCGGGGCGTTACACGATCACTTGGCCGCGGTGCGCAAGATGGGCCGATCGAGCACACGCGATGGCGAGACATGGACGGAAGTACGCGCGGAGCCAGCGCGAACAGAGTCGCGATCGTACCCGGAGCCCATGCCCAAGGCTGGGAGTTCAGCAACGATTGGCCGGGAAAGGATGTCCGAAGAGGAAAAGCACCACCGGATAAGCAAGGGTCTATGTTTCCGTTGCAACGAGAGGTTTACGCCGGGTCATCGGTGCAAGCAACAATTGTACATCATGGATGGTGACGAGGACGAACCAGAGGAAGAGGAAACAAGGCGCTACGTCAAGGAGGACTTGGAAATTTCGGTCAATGCAATGTCGGGAGTGCACGGGCCGAGAACCATTAAGTTGCCCGCCTCGGTCCGAGGACGATCTATCGAGGTGCTAGTCGATACCAGGTCATCCCACAATTTTATTAGTGCCATATTATCGTATTAGCAACTTATCGCTTCGAGACCAAGGCGTCGGCGCGGGTTTCACGGCAAATCGAGTTGAGCGAATACACGATCTGGACTGGTTTTCTATTCTCACCCCACGCCGCGACAGCCCGCAGCCCCGTGCTGTGCCAGCGCCTCGACCAGGACTGAGGACGTGCACCAGACCTCCTGCCGCGTCGCGATGCGCCCGCCTGCCGCGCCGCGCCCGAGCCTCTCGCTCCGTGGCACATGACATTTATATATATATATATATATTCGATCGGGCTCGATACCGGGGATCATTCTTTCAACAAAAATCACAGAAACCCTACCCCCTCTCTTTTTCAAACGTCTTTCATATTTCTCTCTTCATTTTCGACGTAGAACACGGATTTGATCTCGGATTTTTCCATTGCTTGGGATTTAAGCATGTTTATCAGATTCAACTATGGGATTTTATCATTCGTAAGATTTAGCTTGATGAATATGAATTCTTGGGCTGATATAAATTCTTGTGTTGATTATTCGAGCATGAGTAGCTAAATTCCCATTGCTAGGGATAGGGGATTGTTGTTTTGAATTTGTTTGCAATTATCATATGCGTGATTGTTCAATTTGTACGAGTTGATCATTTTCTAGGGTTTTTCAATTGTCGGGCTCGAATATTGAGAATTGTTGAAGGGTGACACTTCAATCCCCAATTATTTGCAATTGAGTTCGATATATTCTTGCTTGATGTTGGTTATTTAAAACGGACTAGTTGATTGAACACTCTCTAGTCTACTTTAATTGACTCTTAGAACCAAAAGGATAGGAGTCGGTCGAAATAGGCTCGTATGAACTAGGCTTGATCGTAACTGTATTGCCTAGAAGTTAAATGAATTGTTAATTTGCCGTTCTAGTCGGTTCTCTTGTTACGAAAAGTTATTGAGAATGAGTGCTTGAACGTGTCGATTAGTCAAATCACTTAACCGAACAATCTCTTGCTTGATAATTGCATTTTCGAACCAAAACGGATATTCCCGACTCCCTAGCTTCTTAAATACTAGTTGTTCTTCGTCGATTGCTTGCTATTTCTATTTACCTTATTTGAAGTCTTTTTCGTAGCCTAATGGACTACCAAAGAGAGTTCGAACGCTTAGCGTGTCATGTACGCGATTGGCCGGAACGAGCACTCATAGGCGCGTTTATTGGGGGCCTTAAGCCGGATCTTGCTGCTAAAGTTAGGCTCGAGAAGTCATGAAGCCTACAAGAAACCATGGAGGCTGCACGCATGCGCTACGATCACTTGGCCGCGGTGCGCAAGATGGGCCGATCGAGCACACGCGATGGCGAGACACAGACGGAAGTACGCGCGGAGCTAGCGCGAACGGAGTCACGATCGTACCCAGAGCCCATGCCCAAGGCGGGGAGTTCAGCAACGATTGGCCGGGAAAGGATGTCCGAAGAGGAAAGGCAGCGCCGGATAAGCAAGGGTCTATGTTTCCGTTGCAACGAGAGGTTTACGCCGGGTCATCGGTGCAAGCAACAATTGTACATCATGGATGGTGACGAGGACGAACCCGAAGAAGAGGAAACAAGGCGCTACATCAAGGAGGACTTGGAAATTTCGGTCAATGCAATGTCGGGAGTGCACGGGCCGAGAACCATTAAGTTGCCCGCCTCGGTCCGAGGACGATCAATCGAGGTGCTAGTTGATACCGGGTCATCCCACAATTTTATTAGTGCCATATTATCAGACGCATTAAAGTTACCGGCAACAAAGGTGGAGCCATTCGACGTGAGAGTAGCCAACAGGGTAAGACTATGATGTCATGAGTATTATCGAGACGTGCCCATCAATCTTCAAGGCGAGACCATTAAGGCCGACCTCTATTCATTACCATTGGTTGGGCCCGATATAGTTCTTGGGGTACAATGGCTAGAAGGACTTAGAGAAGTCAAAACAAAATATAAGAAGGGGATAATGGAATTTTACTTGGATAATAGGTTGGTCGTGTTATAATCAAGCCAAGGGGAGCAAACCATAGTGCGGAGCTACGATGGATAGAACTAATAGAGGAAGAGAGCAAGCACGAGTACTATTTTCTAATCCTTGAGGACAAGGATTTGCTTAGAGGGGGCGGGAATGATGAGAATGTGGTCATTGACCCGTTCGAGCCCGAAGACGAGGCCTACGATGACCAAGGGAAAATGTGCGCAAGCCGTCAGGACAGGCCGAGAGGCCATAAAAAAAGGGCACGTACACGCGTAAAATGGCGCGCGCAAAACGGGCGCACGGTACGCGCACCGGCAATACGCGTAGGCCTGGGGATGAGGCGCGCAGGCCAGCAGCGCGCGAGGGAAGGCCACGCGACAGGGAACTCACCGGGGAGAGCACGAGGGGCGACACACGAGCCCGCGAGTAGCGTGGCGGTAAGATCGAGCGGTGTGCGAGGGGAGGATGTTGGGTGGACAGCACGCACCGCGACCAGCCAGGGACGAACGATCCGGAGCAAGGGGGCCAATGTGCAGGCCACGCGTGAGAAGGGTGAACACGTACGACCCGACGATGCACGAGCTCGCGGGATAGCGCGAGACGCGATAGGCGGACATGCGCGGGGCGCGACAGGGGAGTACGCGCGAGAGGCGGCGTGGGGCGCGCACGGGACCGATGCCGAGGAGGACAAGTGTTTGTCCTATTTTTGTTGCATTTTTTGTGCTCGTTTTGCTTTTCTTTATCCCCCGTTTTAGATTGTTTCCTTCGTTTTTAGTTTGTTTCGTGTTTTATTATGGGTTTTTCTTTATTTTGAGTCTTTAGGTGTTTTTTCGTTTGTTTTTCCGGTTTTCTTCGTGTTTTGTCGTTTTTGGTGTGTAGGTCGGGAGCTTCGGGTGAATTTTATCTTCAAGAAAAGTTTATTTCGAGAGCACAATTGGATAGATGGGTTCGTTAGTGACGCGTAGCAAAAAACGGAACTTAATTCCGAGTTCGGATGACCCCAAACGAGCCCGAAACGTAAAATGGCGCAGTGCAGTCCAAAGTCGCGAGTCGCGAGAGCAAAGTCGCGACTCGCGACTTTAACAGAGCCTCCGACCAGCTGCGCAACCCCACGACCCGTCAGACTCGCGACTCGCGAGTCGCGACCTGTTCGACCCTGTTTTTATTTTTCTCCGTTTTTACTCGTTTTAGCTCCGTTTTTCGAGCACTATATATCAAAACGATCCCCCAGACCTAAGGAACAATCCCCAATATCGTTCCTTTCAATTTTTCTCTCCAAAAACTCAATATTGTTAGGATAAATGTCTCCGCTTTTCTTTTTTTTTCTCTCATGCTTGGATTGTTGGACACAAAGTTATTTGGAATGAAATCTTGCAACTCTTAATCCGATTGTAAGTTTTTCAATTCTATTTTATTATTGTTGATTGGTTTTATGTTCTTAATTCCGGTTAACATGAAATTGAATCTAAGCATGAGGTAATCCATTCACCTAGTTAGGGATTTTGATTCTTGTTTTGAATTATGAGGAATGTGTTTTGTTCAATCTATACGAGTTATGTGAATTATATGGTTAGTTGATTGATCACCATTCTAACCTAGTTAATCGAAGTTTTGAACCGAGAGGGGAGACGTCGGTCGATTTAGGCTCGTATAGAGTAGACATGTTCGTAAAAGTATTGTCTATGTGTTGCTTGTTTGAATGAATTTATCGTTTATGTTTGTGCTCTTGTTACGAAGAGTTATTGAGCATAGCCCTCTAGACGTGTAGGCTTGTTTAATCTCGTAACCGAACAAATAAGCGTTCAACATAGTTTAAGACTTGATGAGATTTCCCGACCCCTAGAACTTCTTCTTTTTCTCTAGAAATTTAATTGTTATTTCTTTAAATGTTTTTCTAGTTCTAGCTTGTTTTAATTGATTCCCCAAATCAATCGTGATTAGAGTGTTTAGGACTTATTTTCTTTTCGAGTGTGATCAAGACCAACGCTAAATTCCGAACCGTCTTCCTCTTGAGATCGACCCGGGGAGCGAATCTTTTGATTCGGTACTCGGTAAAAACATAAAATAATTTGCTACAACAAATTTGACAAGGCTTAGCGTCGAGCGGCTAGGGTTTGGACCAGCGTCCGGCGCAAGCAAGAGAGGGGGATCCGATTTTATTAGCATAATTAGGACTCTAGTTTGGTTAGGAGATCTTGAATAAAGGCATGTGCCTATTTAGTTAATTAATTATTAGATATTATGATATTTAGTTTCCTTAGGAGTTTATTCTCTTTCATGGTTTAGAATTGTAGTTAGTGTAGGATTAGATCTACTTAGTCCCTATAAATACTACCCATTGTCATTAAATTTTAATAATCCAAGTAATAAGAAAAATCGATCGTTTCGGTCACCAAATCTCGTGTGTGATTTACATACAAAATCGTGCTAGAAATAGGACCAACATCCGATTTTCTTCACGCCTATCGCGAAGTACGAAGGCGTCGGCGCGCGTATTAGCAACTTATCGCTTCGAGATTAAGGCGTCGGCACGGCTGCGGGCTATCGCTGGTTTTCTATTCTCACCCCGCGCCGCGATAGCCCGCAGCCGTGCCGTGCCAGCGCCTCGACCTGGACTGAGGACGTGCACGAGACCTCCTGCCTCGTCGCGATACGCCCGCCTACCGCGCCGCTCTCGAGCCTCCCGCTCCGTGGCACATGACATATATATATTCGATCGGGCTCGATACCGGGGATCATTCTTTCACGACAAAAATCACAGAAACCCTACCCCCTCTCTTTTTCAAACGTCTTTCATATTTCTCTCTTCGTTTTCGACGTAGAACACGGATTTGATCTCGGATTTTTCCATTGCTTGGGATTTAAGCCTGTTTATCAGATTCAACTATGGGATTTTATCATTCGTAAGATTTAGCTTGATGAATATGAATTCTTGGGCTGATATAAATTCTTGTGTTGATTATTCGAGCATGAGTAGCTAAATTCCTATTGCTAGGGATAGGGGATTGCTGTTTTGAATTCGTTTGCAATTATCATATGCGTGATTGTTCAATTTGTACGAGTTGATCTTTTTCTAGGGTTTTTCAATTGTCGGGCTCGAATATTGAGAATTGTTGAAGGGTGACACTTCAATCCCCAATTATTTGCAATTGAGTTCGATATATTCTTGCTTGATGTTGGTTATTCAAAACGGACTAGTTGATTGAACACTCTCTAGTCTACTCTAATTGACTCTTAGAACCAAAATGATAGGAGTCGGTCGAAATAGGCTCGTATGAACTAGGCTTGTTCGTAACTGTATTGCCTAGAAGTTAAATGAATTGTTAATTTGCCGTTCTAGTCTGTTCTCTTGCTACGAAAAGTTATTGAGAATGAGTGCTTGAACGTGTCGATTGGTCAAATCATTTAACCGAACAATCTCTTGCTTGATAATTGCATTTTCGAACCAAAACGGATATTCCCGACTCCCTAGCTTCTTAAATACTACTTGTTCTTCGTCGATTGCTTGCTATTTCTATTTACCTTATTTGAAGTCTTTTTCGTAGTTAATAATCAAACCAAATCTTCTGAATGAGAATGTTTAGGAATTTTGTTTCTCTTTTTGTTTGAATAAACGTATAGAATATTCCGGCTAACCTTCCTCGTGAGACACGACCTGGGGTTCGAATCATTTCAATTCTACTCCGGAAAATATATTTACAACAGATACCAAAGCTAAATTCCGAACCGCCTTCCTCGTGAGATCGACCCGGGAAAAGAATCTTTTGATTCGATACTCGGTAAAAATAAAGTAATTTGTACACAACAAATTTGGCGCCGTTGCCGGGGAACGATCCCGTGTCCCAGGCAACGATGCCAAATTTGTTGTGTACAAATTACTTTATTTTTACCGAGTACCGAATCAAAAGATTTGTTGCCCGGGTCGTTCTCACGAGGAAGGCGGTTCGAAATTTAGCTTTGGTATCGATCACACAGAAAAAGAAAATAAATCCTAAACACTCTAATCAGATAATGGTTTGAATAAATTATTAACTACAAAATAATATAAAACAATAATCTACCTAAAAATATAAACGAAAAAAGATGAAGAAGCTAGGGAGTCGGGGATAATTTATTCAAGTTCTTAGCAAAACTGGGCAGTCAATTGTTCCGTTCAAGATTGACACTCTCGCTTTTGAATTTTCCAGTGGTGTGAAAAGAATAGCCTTAAATCTTGAGAATGAGAATGTAGGGATTGTTGTCTTTGGTAGTGATACTGCTATTAAAGAAGGAGATCTTGTCAAGCGCACTGGATCTATTGTGGATGTTCTTGCGGAAAAGGCTATGCTAGGGCGTGTGGTCGACGCCTTGGGAGTACCTATTGATGGAAGAGGGGCTCTAAGCGCTCACGAGCGAAGACGTGTCGAAGTGAAAGCCCCTGGAATTATTGAACTAAAAGGCTTAAAGGTCCCCTAGTAAGCAGTTGAATGAAGTCATAGCTTCCTTCTGCTAGGTTTGGTAAGAAGTTCGAAAGAAGTCTGACTGCCTTCGTGCCTTATCCCAGCTAGCATCCCTTATCGATTGAATTACAGGCTTTAGTAGAAAAGCAGGAAAGAAGTCTAAGTCAGCAGTTGTAAATCAGTCATTCGAAAGAGTAGTTACCGCGGACTTAGAATCTCATCGATGGTCCCGAATTTATATGACTGAACTTTGCTTCGTAAAGATTGTAGGGTAGGAAAGTCACATCTAGCGGTTCGCTCCCAATAACTCTTCGTAACAAGGGATTGAACATAGACGAACAAGCTCGAGCATACAACACAGGCCAATTATCCCAATCCCAATAACTTTTCATAACAAGGGATGGGTCATCGACAAGCACGTATTTCAATCTCAACCCATATGTTATTCAGTTACGAAATTATCTATCTCATACAAGCCTAGGTCTACGACTTCTACCCATTCGGTTCAAAAAGTCGCTAATTTAATTAGAAGGTGTTTAATCAACTAATCATTGGAATCAACAAAACCAAACTCGACAACTCAATATTCAATTGTTACCAACTGCAAGGCCGAAGTGTCACCCCTCGATTACATCAAACTATCAAGCACAATTTCATCAATCCCTAATCAATTCAACTCACATAAGCATGAACAAATCAAGCCCGACAATTACGAAATCAAACAAAAACAATCATTCCCTATCCCTAGCAATAAGAATTAGCTACGTAAAATAGATTCAACACAATTAATCAATTTTTCCAAATCAACTATCTTCATGAATTAACAAGAGAGAAAACTTACAGATAATCTCAATTCAATCGTTGAATCCCAATTACAAGCGTAATCCCTAAATATTATTAAGAAGAAGGAAAATGGAGAAGAAGGATGGAGAGAAGAAACAAAAAACAATAAAGAAGAAGGGAAGAAAAGAGGAGAAAGGAGTTTCGTGTTTTATCTCGGGCCAAGGGTTTTCGTCCCCAAGAGGGGAGATTTTTTTCTGTCAAAGTCCCGAACATATATTTATAGTTGGCAGGGTCACAGTGTGAAAGATTCGAGCACGGCGCTAGGGTGCATGAGTGGCGCGGCGCGAGGCATGCTCCGCGGCGTAAGGGATGGCAGCTCTGCGGCGTGGTGGATCAGCACGGCGTAGTGGGATCGGCCTGGGAAATCTCTATCGGGGTCGCGGAGGCTCCACGACGCGGAGAAAGGCCGTACCGTGCCGCGGAGGATTCTTCACGCCTTGGTGGAAGGGTGTGCCGCGCCGCCTCGGCGAGCGGGACTGCTCACTTGACTTTGCTTCTCGAGCTCGTTTGGATTCGTCCGAACTCGGAATTCGATTCCGTTTTTTTTTATGCGTTGCCAATGAAGTCTATGCAATTGTGCTTTCAAATCCAACTTATTCTTGAAAACCTGTACTCCCAAAGATTTTGACTTGAAGGTGGCGGCTTTCGTGCGCGACTTCACATATCGGGCCCGTCCGGACTCGTTCGAACTCGAAATTAAGTTCCGGTTTTTCCTATGTGTCGCCAACAAACCCATCTATCCAACCATGATTTTCTAGACTATTTTAGAGCTAAATCTATTCCTTACGGGCTTCTGACCTGCACACCAAAAGCAAGAAGAAAAACATAGAAAACCGACAAAATATACGAAAAACACATAAAAGCCCAAATAGATCAAAACACACAATAAACTACAAAACGAACTAAAAACTAACAAAAAGACCTAAAACGAGGGAAAAAAATGAAAAAATAACAAGGAAAAATGCAACAAAAATGGGACAAACAGTACCTCATCATAGGTAAGGTCTCGATCGACCTGAAACTCGCCGAAGCTTCCCCTTCTTTCCGAAGCGAGCCACACACTTCATGGTTGCGACCTTCAGAAAGACATGATCGCCAACCTCATACTCATGCTCCTGTCTCTTCCTGCCGACTTATACTTTTTGCCTCTCCTGGGCAGCCTTGATCCTCTTTTGGATCTCATCAACCTGTTCTGAAGTCCTACGAATGAACTCCGGGCCCATGATCTTCCTCTCTCTGATCTCATCCCAATATAAGGGAGTCCAAACTTTCCGCCCGTACAAAGCCTCGAACGGTGCCATCTTGATCGAGGCTTGATAACTATTATTGTAAGCCAGCTCGACCAATGACAGTGAACTCACCCAAGTTAGGCTCCGGTCCAAGACCACAACCCTCAGAATATCCTCCAAGGTCTGGATCGTCCGCTCCGGCTGACCATCAGTCTCGAGGTGAAAGGCTGTACTAAACTCCAACCTCGTCCCCATGGCCTGGTGCAACTCTTCCAGAATTGAGTATAAGTGGGAGAATTGTTTAGATATGTCGTTGTATACTAAAAGCTTAGCTTTAGTATAAGTGGGAGATTGATGGAGTATACAGTAAAGTAAACTTTTGTGTGAGCTTTTGGAATGTATTTATTTGATTTCCCAGTTGACTGAAATAAATGTTTTCACATTGTTGCTTTCTTTATGATTGCTTGAATGTTAAATGTCCAATTATCTTATATTGTAGACAATGTGGTGTGTGAGTAGTCACACAGAAGATTACATTGCCGGTTCCTTATAAGATATAAATGGTATTCACAACTGAGATAGTTATGGACATGACTATCGGTGTAAGTTGTAGTATAAACTGGATGTAGCTTGTCTTGGCTATTGGTTTATACTAGTGCACTGCGTCGCATTGAATGGATCACAGTTGTGACGTGTTCTTCTGTTCTGACTGTTATGAAGAACCAAGGTCTCAGTGGCTCTACTAATTCTTAACTCTAACTGTAATACTTAGATATGTAGGATATTTGTTTGTTGCTTTAATTTACCATGATTGAGAACCAAGTATTGGTTCAATATGCTCCTTATCTTGGGTAACAACATTGTCTGCATGATATCTATTTATTAGCATTTAGAAACCGTGTCCTGGACATCCAGGTTGATGACATCCCCTTAAGGAACTCATAAGGATTATCGTACCAAACCCTACAGGTGGATTTAATTCGTATGATAATAAGGTTGAGTGGTACTACTTAAGGAATAAAAGATATTAATTCTGACTGCTTTAAATAATTAAGAGTAACATGCAATTTTAGTCATGTATGTTTTACTACCATAACTTTTTCGTCCTCTTCAAATTCATTTTTTCTTTTCGTCCCATATATTTGCAAAAATGTTACAAAAAAGTCCTTTTCATACATAAAGGACAAAATTGAAACATTTTTTTACAAAACATAAAGGACCTTTTTGTTGCGAAAAAGACGTTTTTGTAACCTTTTTAAAAACATACGGGATGAAAATCAAATCGCAATTCGAAGAGGATAAAAAAGTTAGGGTAATGAAACATACAGGACTAAATTTACATTTTATTCAATTTAATGGACGTGCGATATCTTAAACACAGGGAATTATATCGAGTCTAATAGAAGTCCTGATTCATTTCGGGATAGGACGGTAGTGCAATATTAATTCTCTAGTGGAATGAATTAATATTTACAGGACAAATTGTGTTCTGGGCTGAACATAAGAATTTGGGCCCGTAGGAAGCCCAAACCCTATACCTTCTAAGAGATCCCTAGTCTGGCCCAAGGACCTCTATAAAAGGAGGGATTTCACGTCTTTAACCCTATGCATAATCATAGAATGTGACATTCTTCAGCCATCATCGTGGAGAAGTGACGTGAAGGGTTCAGAGAAGACGAGACGCAATCCGCTCTTTTCAACCGTTTGGTAGATCGTCGTCCATCCGGCGTCCAAGCGTGGTCGGGACACAGACTAGAAGATCGTTCAGATCGAATCAAAGCCTCGAAGAAAGGTAATTCTATGTTCGTCCTTTAGGAGCATGCCTAGGGTTATTCAAAATCATGTATGTACATGTTTGGTATCCGATATCAATCTGTGAGACGGACCGCCTCACCGGCGTGTTCCAGTAGCTGGCACGGGTCAGGGCTCGCCAAGTGTGCAGGGGCGCGGTCTGGACACGCGAGGACGCGCTGGGGCATGGGGCTGCCTCGGTTGGTGGCATTGGGCACGGGTCTGTAGGCGCAGGGGCGCTTGAGGCCGGCTGATGGCCACTGGGCGTGTCTTGCATGCTGCCTCGCGGGGCGCTCGGGCATTGCAGGGCACGGGTCGGCTGCTGGCAGGCGCTGGCAGTGGCCCGGGACAGACAACGTGCAACACATACTTACCGGGGTTTTGGGAGTTTGGGTCGGAGTTTTCATTTCGAACTTTAACACATAATAAAAGACTCAAAACCAGATAAGTAAACCAAAGATTGGCCTTTAGAAACTATTTTAACCAAGATAACCAGTTTTTGCGAAATAACATACGAAATCTGAAGTTCTTAGTTCCATAGGCTATCCTTCGACTTTTAACTTGAAATTATGACACAAGCAACAGTGCCCAGAGAACAGCAACATATCAAAAATTCCACTAATTTGAAGCAACATACAATTTTATATAATTTTTACAAAAATACGACCAGAATTCAAAATTGCTATTTAACCTAGATAAACATTGAATTTGAACTTGATATTTTATCACATATACTTCATCATCAGAGAGCATACATATCAAAATTTCACAATATTTGTCCCAGGAGTCGATTTATCATGAATTTTTAAATGTTCAGCAGCAAGACACACTTTAAAAATTCATAACTCATAAACCACAAATCGAAACGGTCCAAAGTTTTCACCATCAGACTTACGACTCTCCAAAGGACCTATTATTCCACGGTTTCCACGAACTTATAACAGGATCTAATGGTTTACATTAAACCACATAGATCACTACATAATGCCAATAAAACTACATCATATAATTACCACTCGACCATATATACATCATCACTACAACATATGAACAAACATATATATCAAAATAGAAGAGGGTTCCAGCCATCCAATACCGTTCACCGAAGGAACACTCGAAAACAAATGGAAGGAGGCTGAAACGGGGTCGAGGG